TCCTGATATGGGGTGTGGTATATATACCAAAATGGTCATATATGATAATCTCTAAATACAAGCCCCTGTGGTATATTGTCACAAGATTGACATGGGACCCATATTCATTACTAATGTCACATGGTTATTTATAACAATGACGGAAAGATAACGTTTGATTTAATACTAATAATTACACAAGTGTAGAAGCTCACCTTCCTGCACAATACACGTTTTGTGTGCAGAATTTAGCTGCGAAGTCCACTTCTCGGCCATGTTGTTTGTTAGAAACCCGATCTCTGTCTACAGAATGTTTTGAATCCTTTCGACGACAATGGTAGTCTCGCTCAACCAGACTCTTGTTGCCTGAAAAATTTGACAAGTGTAGATTGAGGGGTCCAGACCAGGGATGGGGTGTTCTCGTTTCCCCCACTTTTTATATAATAAAGGAAAATGTTGATTTAGGAAGACAATGGCAAACCAATTATAGTCTGTTTCATACTTACCCCACAGGTAACTTACCTGTGTGAAAGTTACCTGTGTGACTTGTAGCTTTGTTGGGTAAAACTAAGGTTTTGATACTTTTTGAGGTTCAAATATCTTTATGTAATCGATATATTTTTATACTTATACATATGTAGAGTTTACAGTCAAATATTTACATTACACTTTTAAGCAGATAATATAGAATATAACAGCACTGCATAAGAGTTCACAATATATTACAATTTTAAAATCCATTACCAATATTCACATATTAAGAATAGTAAAGTTTAGTAATAGCAATCTCAAACTGACCCCCCTCAAATGTTTATCATATCTCCAATTTAAAGTTTAAGTCCAACAGCCAAGAGGCATATGTTGTTATCTATCCCAAATGTAAGAGATGTTAACTTATATATCATGTATTGTGAATTACGGTAGTGAAGTATGGGGTTATAGTCCTGCACCGCAGATTGAAAATATACATTTATTATTTTTGAAAACCGTATTGGGTGTCAGGAAAACAATAAATAATGCCATGGTGTATTTTGAACTTGGTCTTAACCCTTTGCATATACAGCGTAGGATTGCTATTGTAAAGTACTGTCTGCAAATATAAAGACTAATAACTGTATTTTGAGAGCCTGTTACGATGAACTTTTAGACCTTACAACAGGAAACCAAATTGTAAAGCAAATTGGGTTTATCATCTGAGACGTGATTTGTGTACGTTGGGTTTTGGAGATGTGTGGTTGGAAAATTGTGTACCAAATGAGAAATCTTTTTTATTATTATATATCCAACGCATAAAGGATAGTTTTATTCAGGAAATGAGAAACATATTCGAGACATCTTCAAAATGTTTGTTGTATAAACACATTGATGACCGTTTTGATCTAAAATGGTATTTTACAAAACCGCTAGCTAGAAAAAATAAATGTATTCTTGCGAAGTATAGATTGCAAGCACC